TCCACCGTGTAACCTGCGAGACAAATATTTTACAAATAGTAACGCAAATGGCTGCTCGACACACTTAAGGACAAAGTGTATATACACTGGGACACCGCCCTGACAAACTCAAGATATCACGGTTACTATGGCGACGGCATAGCTCATGAATATTCATTTCGAACTGCCGACGTTTCTTGGTCGCCACAGACTGTATAAAAACATGGAGGTAGTGTCCGTGACGTGACGACTTCCGACGAGCCTTTTGAAGCCTAAAAGTGGGCGGAGCCAGCCGTCGCCATCTTTGCAGCGCGTCACTCCCAGATAATCGAAAATGGATAAAGAGGCGGGAGCTGGCGGCTGAAGCCACGCCCACATAGCTCGACGGCGGTGACAGCAGCGGCAATCCACCTGTCACTCAAGTGGCCACGCCCTTAATTATGCAGAACTTTAAGGCTTAATATAATTTAAACGGATGAGTTATAAAAAAATTCACCCCCCTCACAGTTGTCATGAAGGACAAAATTAGCTATATAGACCAAAGCCACTTTTTGTACCAGGCTGTAAACATGTTTTTTTCTGCTGTAAAGTTGGGCGTTTTAACATGGGGAGTCTATGGGACTGACTCGCTTTTGCAGCCCGCCTCTAGCGGCCAGTCGATGAATTACAGATTAAGTCGTTCGTTGGTCGCCTACGGATGCGGTCAATCACGTGACCTAATTAATATACGTATGCCAAGTACAATCCGCTCATTCGCTAACTGTTTCCGCTTTCAGCCAATCAGCTAGACTTACAGGGCGACCGTCATACTGCGTAGTTAATATTCATGAGCCAATTCTTCCCCATAGTAGGAATCATAAATTGGCCTCAGAGAGAAGGAACTAGTAAATACATCGCGCCACTCACACTACACAGTTAGGAAATTAGCCTTATTAATTTTACAACCAATGCAATTTATTTAGTCGCCGTTTATGCCCAAGAAAAATACAGATACAGCAAATTGGCAAAAAAAAAAAATATATATATATATTTTTTTTTCATCGCGAGTCGAGATGAACTTGCATCTTTGCTCCAGGAAGTTCCTCTTCATGTTAGCAAGCTAATGCTGCTAATCGAACATCATTTCCAGCAGGAAGTCAAATAAAAAAAATAATAAAAAGTTAAATACGCTTTCAGCTAGACTCCCAACATTCACAAATCACGAATGCATTCAAAAAACAAGTTCAAAAACTGCTTCCGACTTCTTGGCCCTTTATTCTCAAGTTAATACACCGCCTCAGTGTGTGACCTGATACAGGGTTTACAGCTCACTGCTTATTTCAGGAACACGGCTTGCTTTCTGGATGATTTTAAAAGAGGATCTAAATTGCAACTTCCCCCATGCACGAGGTCAGAAAATATGCACTCTTTTATGAAGCAATCTCGTAGCTTCTGAAAAAAGGCAAAACCTCAGGCTCGTTAACTTTGATGTTCAGACAAGACTAACCTGGGCTGGTCAGGATGTGATCAAATTGATACTGGAGACCCCAAACCCTCCAGTCTGAGCCATAAAAATACATGCACCCATAACTTTCATTAATCGTTTGTAATGCATGTATCAACTTGCTGTCTTGTCAAGCTGCCGTTGCTACAAAAGATGCAAAACTACCGGGAAAAAACGTCAACGCGAGCGAAAATTATGCGATATTTTCTGCATGCGTTGTATGAGATCTTCGTGGTGTTTCTGCGGTGAAATCTTACCGTGGACCTGCGGGTACTGCGAGTCGATAGCTTAGAGAAAGCTTGCCTGACTTCTCAACGGCGCGAGGATGAGGGAGCGGCGAAGCCAGAGAGCGACACACTTCCGGGAATACCGTCGAGCGCGTCACGCTGTCTGCGCATGCGCAGGAACACCCGCTAGTATGGCAAGCCGTTTTAGCATTACCGCTTGTTCTTTTTTCGAACGCAAACGGATCGACGTGGGTAGGAATGAAGAATTCGTGGAGAGAAATGAAGAGTTCAGTCTGAAATTGTTCTTCTAAAATTAGCATTTTTATCAGGCTCCTATGTTTAGGTTCAGTGATTTTATTTTAATGGCAATGTATAGGTCATTTTCTATGTTTCTATCTCTCTATGTAATACACCACGTGACTGCTTCAATTTCATTACATTATACTAATGCGTTAGCATTGTGTCCTTTACTTTATAATGTGTTAGCATTGTTTTTTTAATTAAATATCAAGCTCAAATGAACTTTGCCTATGAAATAACAGGACTGAGGCAGAATTAAAATGGACAGATCGCCGATTTAATTTATGTTTAATTTATTGTACTTATTTTAGCGCCAGTACACCGACACAAATGAATGACGTTGACAATGAGCATTATTTATATACAATAAAATTAAAGAAAGAATGATTTGTAGAACCGGGTGTGAAACCAGCGGCTGTAATGGAACAGCAATTTGGAAGGTGTTATTCAGTTTTATTTTTACAACATAAACAGTGTTGAAAAGCTTAGAGTAATGAACGCTGCAAAGATGGCGACAGCTGGCTCCGCCCACTTTAGGCTTCAAAATGCTCGTCGGGAGTCTACGGGTGACGTCACGGACACTACGTCCATGTTTTTATACAGTCTATGGTCGTAACAGACATCTGCCTAATAAAATGCTATTATTTAAAGTCACCATGAAATCAAAATTGAAAATTCTTATTTTTTAATGGAATACTGTAGTGTTTATTAGAAATAATTTATCCGTGCACGTCATTATTTATTTATTTTTTAATTCATGTGCCCTTGTAATCTTTAATCAAAAACGTTAACCTCCCCGCCCCCTCAAAACGACTCCTCTTCTCTTCCGGTCACGAGCTATGGCGCAAGGGCGGAGCTAGTGACGACAGGGAAAAGCTGAAGCTGATGCTTTACTTTATAGCACTGACACCAGTCATGAGGGGGTATGTTACCCCTAAACATTGAAAAGATATTAGGATATTACGACAACATTACTCTTAGGACATCGCAAACTAATTTTTTTCATGAATATGACTTAACCTGATGGAGGACGCGCTCAGTCATTCTGGCAGTCTCTCTCTCTGGCGCGCTGTTTAGGCATGTTTTGTGCCGTTGATCGTTGTCATCATCCTTAATAAATAAAACATTTATTCATGCTTGGGTGTTGACTGTGAATCCAGTGGAGAGAAATCCCCCACCACTAACTGCAAAATCAAACTGGCATTCAGATCTGCCTCCATTTTGTTAGCAACGCCCCAGCTTCCAACGATCCAATCAATTCCCGAAGGACGAAATCAAGTCCCGCCCTCACATTTCTGATGCCGTTTCACTCAGACATACGTCACGGTAGAGAAAAGACAATCGCAACTTCCGTTTCATGCCGACTTTAAAGTTCTGTAGCGGCAAACAAGAGAAAAAGTTTCAGGACAGCAGCCCGCCCTCTTTTGGGCCAATCAGAAACGAGCGCGAGTCATTTTGAGCCTTTGGATTTGCTGACGTTTCATAAAGGGCGTGGCTTCGGGAGGGGGCGTAAAGTTAAAAATTACTCCACTTACTAATTAGAACCACTGTTGGGAAAAGTTACTTTTAAAAGTAATGCATTACAATAAAGCGTTACTACAATAAAAATTTAAAAAAGTAACCAATTGCATTAGTTACTTTTTGTGGAAGATTAACGAATCACGCTGCTTTTGCATTACTTTGACACCTGGGCTTATTTTATTTTTGATCCCCAAAATTGTTTTTGGCAACTGTAAAGGCCCTTTCACACCAAAAGTGTAAGTAACACAGCTTTTTAAAGGTGTATTGCAAGAAAGAAAAATTTTAACACCCATTTAGACTCTTACAGAAGCATTGCAGCCACTTATTGATTTAAATAAAAGCAAAGCACAAAGTTGCAGACACCTAGTGGCTGACATGAGTAGTGTGCTTATTGCTATGAGATTTATACTCTACTACATTAACTTAAGATTGGCTCCAGTTAGCAGTTCTCTAGTGCGGTGGTTCCCAAACTTTTTGCAGCGTGCACCCCTTTCTAGTGTTTGATACACGTCAAGCACCCCCACCACCTTACTCTGGTTAAACATCACATTTTTTAACGGCATATCCAAACAAATATTCACTGTAGAAAATTTCGGTTACTGAAAGAACATTACTTCCCATAATTTTTAGAGAGATGGATGGGCCTGAGTCCAAAAAAAAACAAAAAACCCAATGTATATACAATGAGGAAGCAGACACATCATGTGGTTACTAAATACTGCAGGTTTTTATTTCAATGACCTACACAAGGATGGTTAAATTAGCCCATCTCTTAAATCCTACAGTACAACCAGGTTTTTTCTCAAAAAGGAAAACGAAAATAAAAACAAAGTAGGTAAAAAACACGAGCACTTTAAAAGGAGAAAAAGATCGGTACACATTTAAATCACTTCTGAAGACGCAAGTGTAAAACAGCCGACATGTTCAAAGCTATTACAATGATGTTGGAACAGCAGGGAATGCAGCTTGACATGTTGGTATTTAGCTGGTATCCATCTGTTTGAAAAACAAAAAGGAAAATGGAGATTACTACCAGCTTTTTTTTCTTCTTAAAACACGCGAAGAACACAAAGATAACGATTTTTACCAACAATTAGTCTCCTCTGTCTCTCCGCATCACCGTAGCGCCATTTTGGAGAATATCCGCTGAACGCAAACTGCATACGCTGTTCTGTGTCAGCCGCGCCACAAGGATACGGTTCCTAAAGCGTACGCTGCTTGCATTTAGCGCATATTCTCCAAAGTGGCGCTACGGTGATGCGGAGAGACACAGAGGAGACAAATTGTTGAATAAAGTCGTTACTTTTGTTTTCTTCGTATACAACGTATTCTCATCGCTTCATAATGTTACGGTTGAACCACTGATGGACAGTCACAAGCCTCCCGGTTTTCATCAAAAATATCTTAAATTGTGTTCCGAAGACGAACGAAGCTTTTAGGGGTTTGGAATGACATGGGGGTAGGTGATTAATGACAACATTTTCATTTTGGGGTGGAGTAACCCTTTAAAGACTCTTCACTGCACAAGTTAATGTAACACCTACCTGAATGTCTGCATCGGACACGCCGAAGTCGAGGTTGGACACGAGGAGCTTTCCTCCGGTTTCCACGCCCGCTCCACCGACGCCGCCGCCTCCACCACCACCTCCAGCATTCGCACTGTAGCCGTTGTCAAACAGGTCATGCTGCCACTTGTCTGGGAGCTGCTTGGGCTGCAACAGATGAGAGAGAACGCACCTGCTGACTTCGGGTCCCCAGTCTGTCACTGACAGTCCACTCGGCTGGGTGTTGGGGCAAGCAGGGGGCTCCACTTCAACAAGGCCAGGGGCACCCAGTGCGCTCGCTGTGATTTCCAGCAATCCCTGCCCACCCCATCACTACAAACAAGTAAACCAATGCAGGACACTGCTGGTAGCTGGTTCGAATTACACTAACTTTACTGGACGCAATTCACTAGATAGAGTGGAGGCAAGTTTAACCCCTCTGGTGGTTGAAAGTTTACATTTTGAATTCTTACTTCATCAGAATGGTACTAAACTTGATGACTTTGAAAGATTGGAGTACATAAAAAGGCTAAATGTGACCCTGGACCACAAAACCAGTCTTAAGTGTCAATTTTTCAAAATATCTGAATAAATAAGCTTTCCATTGGTGTACGGTTTGTTAGGATCGGACAATATTTGGCCGAGATACAATTATTTGAAAATCTGGAATCTGAGGGTGCAAAAAAAATAAATATATATATTCATTCATATTCTAAATATTGAGAAAATCATCTTTAAAGTTGTCCAAATGAAGTTCTTAGCAATGCATATTACTAATCAAATTAAGTTTTGATATATTTACAGTAGGACATTCACAAAATATCTTCATGGAACATGATCTTTACTTAATATCCTAATGATTTTTGGCATAAAATAAAAATCTATAATTTTAACCCATACAATGTATTGTTGGCTATTGCTACAAATATCCCCCAGCGACTTAACACTGCTTTTGTGCTGCAGGCTCACAGTGTGATCTTCATGCTTAAAATAAATAAAAACTAAAATTACCAGTACAGGAAATTAATGGTTAACAGAATTTGAGGGGTAAAACCTACAAAACCAGCCCATATTAACTAGTCTAAAACACAAAGCAACTATGGAATACACAACCCTACATTTTAAATAGATTTCAAATACCTCCACACTAATCTTAAACTTAAACACTTGTAAAAATTCTCCAGTTTTAGTAAAAGCTTATCGTGTAACACCATTAAAAATGCTCAAACATTGATACAAAATAGTACACTTTTTTTTTTGGAAAGTGTCACCTTTAAATGTATCCTATCGGTTTTGACTGCCAAGAATTAAAGCTAAGAAAGCCAGAGGGTTCATTCAAAAGCTTAACCATGCATGATACGCATACGGTCAAAATAACCGGTTACAAGAGTAGGTTAACAAGTTAACTGAGGGTAGCCTATTGTAGTAAACACCACCATCCCCTTAGCAAGCTACCGAGCTACCAGCAGCCCAAGAGTCTCTTGCCGTCCACTCCAAATGAATCCCAGCAGGCCTCCGTTAGGTGGATAGGGGTGTTCCTCTGGTCTCCGGAGAGGAGCAGCACAGCAGTCCAAAACAGGAGCTTAAAACGAGGCTCAGAAGTGTCCATGCTCGGCGTCTGAAGCTGCTTCGGAGCGTCCATTTTGAGCCCACGCCATTTTGACGGGCTTATTATATAAATGCAGCCCTCACTAAAGCTCAAGCTAACAACTAGCGAGGAGGGGGGGTCAAAAGATGGTCACAGTCCATTTATCCCGTACGGCTTCCAACACTATGTAACTATATCTCTGCTTTCAAGGATATTCGAGACCGTGAAACCCCTCCCAAACAAAAGCCGAGCTCCAGCGAGGAACGAAGGGGAGGTGGGCTTTTTTCCCCCCTCGCACAAAAATGTGGACTCTTTAGAATCGCAAGGATGTGCGCTGGATGTTGTCGAACACAAAGAAAGGCTAGGCTGAATGAAAGGCACCAGCCGTCTCCAAAATGGCGTCGACGACCGTAGGACAGCAGATACACACAAGCCGCTCCAGACGCTCACACGGATGCCAAGACAACGGGCTTAGAGAGAGAACACATTATGCACAAAATATATCTAACCAGCTTCTCCGACACACATTCCCAGAGAGGCTCCAGGGGCCCGTGCGGCGAGCTAGCCGCCGTGTTCGCTGGCAGCCTAGAAAGATAAAAACGGGCTTCACCCAGGCATGTGGATGCGCCCGTGATTTTCTCCGCTTTCTCCTACCCTGCTGTACGGCGTAGGTCTGCTTCTTCCGCGGCTCAGGTTCTGGCGGCTCCTCATGGGGCCCGATCCCCCGCCGCGGCCTGCAAAGCCTCCGCCTGTATTTCCGAGCCGCCCGCCGGCGCCAGCACCGCGGCCGCCGCCTGTGCCTCCGCGGCCTCCGCCTCCTCTCCCGCCTCCCCCGCGCTGCCTGTTTTGCTTGATGATATCGTCTAAGGACATATCCATCTTGTCCGCCATCGTCTGGCCTTCGTTAACGCTAAACACTGCCGTTAACTTAAAAACAAACACAGCTCGTATGAAGCGCAACCGCTCGCTCATAAACAAAAGCGGAAACGACGACCAACCGCCGGCGCCATATTTATAGCGGGAACGCTCGTGACGCACGTCGGTGAGAGGAACGCTTCCGGTTTTAATTCCTCAAGTCGAGACTCGCAGCGTTTACTTCATAACAGTGAGATGCTGAGCATTGTGGATTCTCTTAAAAATATTAAGTTAATGTCATTATTTTTTTTGTAAAAGAAAATAACCAGTAGCTTTATATTATAGTAATACAAATTAATCAAGACTATTTGCAAAGAATACACGTAACCAAGTTATAGGCCTACCCTATTCTCTTCTAGTCTTACTTTAATCTTTAATGTATTTGCTTAAGGCTTGTATATGTACCATGTGTGAACTATGCTTTCAACAAAGTTTATTAGCAAAAAATGGGCATATATAACAATGTAACAGATATCGGTGTTCTTTGAATAGTACTTGAAAACATCCTTCACATTCAGACCAAAGGCATTCGTTTTATACATTTTACAGTATTCTGAATTATTTTGATTTGCCCTCATCATGATCATTCATGTCTGAAACATCCAAAAAGCCAACTAATTTCCTTTTATATATACAAATGCCACCGACTTATAAATAAATACGTACCCGCCGTAAACTTCTGAAAAACAGAAACATACATTAGAAGCTTGCGATGTGTTTCATAAGGGCTTTTGAGACGGATCACATCATCTCAGAAAGCCTACAGAGCCGTGAGAATGGGATCATGATATGATCACTTACCTGAACTCCTCTCTAAAGTTAAACATTCCTGTTGTTAAATTTTAAGAGTACACATACAAAAAAAAAACCTACAGGCAACCTCAACATGATAAATGCAATGCAGAGAGTCTGAGATAACATAAAAGTAATCTTTATTTTAATTTTAATTTAAAGGCTGGGAACGAAAGATTTGGAAGTCTACTTAAAGTTCTTGACGGTATCAATTCATAGTTAAAAATGGAGGTACATTTACTAAAAATATCTGCCGAGCCAAACTTACCTGTCCTACCAGACAAAACTCGCTAAATTCTTCTATGAATCAATCAATCTATGAAACTAACTGAACAGTCAGTCGTTCCCCGGCGGGTGATGAACGCGTTTCGAAAAAGGAGTAAATTCCAGGACTGCGTCCCATTGTTTGTGTAGAGTCTGTCCAACAGTTTAAGCATCACTGTTCTTTGCCTTCCCCATTTGTCATCTCCACATCAAAAAATGAAGAAAAATCGAAACCCAAGAAGTAAGAAAAAAAATCCTGAAACAGGTCTTTGTTGTTTTCCCACCTGCAAAAAAAGAAAGAAAAAAAAAAAGAGCCCGGATGAACATGAAAAACAGGGAATGGCCACTCAAACGGCTCTTGAAAATGTAACGCATAAATAGATGTGCAGATCACAGGTCCATGAGGCAGAGAAGAGAGAAGCTTTCTGGACTAAGGTGGCCAAATCTTATTTGTTGGCCAACAGAAGACTGATAGAGTAAAAAGGTCCCAAATGTAAAAGGGAGGACAAAAAACCCCCCCGGCTGGATCAGAAAGAGAGGGCACGGTCTAAGACTTCTTGGAGTCTTGTGTGTTCCGCTTCTTAAGGTCACTCAGGTCCACTGGTATAAAAGCTGCAAGAAAGAAGGGACAAAAAGACGAAGCAAACGGATTTAAAAACACGGCATGGACTTTGTCCGGATGAAAACTGTTACAGACAATTAAACTTACAATGTAGGTTGGGATTTGGGTTTTTCTCCACATACTCCTGTGGTCCGCGATCATTACGTTCACTATTTTGTGGGGATTTAATGTCTCTCAAAACACAAAGCCAAGCTGGAAAGAAAACACAAAAGCCTTACGACAACATGTCTTGAAATCCTGAGTCTTAGTTACAAGGCTCCTAGACTTTTTAACTAACAAATGTACATGATTTGGTTGTACATGATTAAGGATTTTTAAAAATGTAAGGATTGTAAAGATTGTATCCATAAAGAATCCTTTCAAGCCAATGAAATGTTTAAAAGCGGAGCACAAATGTAAATTTCAGTGATGTTCTTAGGCCTGGAAGTCACACTTTTCCAAAGTTAAAATGGTACTCGGCTAAAAGAAAAAAAAAAAAAAAAAAGGTGTGTTTTATGCCTTACTGTCATGGATGAAGCGCACATTTTCTTCATGTGCTGGTGTGAAAAGCTCTCCTGTATTCGTTGGTGATCGAGGGCTGGAAGTCCTCTTGTATGTGTGCATTCTAGGGGTAGAGGAGCTAGGGCGAAAAAAAACAGAAATCAGGGAAAAAGAGAAACTGTACTTAAAGGTGGGGTAAGCAATTTTTAAAAAACGCTTCAGAAAACTGATTCGGGCCGAATAGCAAAACAAACTTTAAATCTGTGTCAATACGTCATGAATAGAACGCAGCAGCCATTTTCTGTCGGGGATTTGTCGTGTCGTGCCGCATCCAGTGTAGACCATAGATATGTAGAGTATATATATATATATATATATATATATATATATATATCTATATCTATGGTGTAGACAGCATCACTGATTATAATATGTTCTATAGTATTTTGTCGTGCCGCGCCACTCGCGTCCGGTGTAGACACGGTGTAACATTGGATTGTTTTGTTTCACAGAACTAATCGTTGCCTGGGTTGCGTACATATGTGTGGCGGAGCTATCAAAATAGGGGCGAGACCCTTTTGGGGGTAGGGGCGTGTTCGTTTTGGTGATTTCAAATGTCAACATTGGCTACCAGATATCTATTACCCCACCTTTAAGTGCCACAAATAATGTGAGCACAAAGTTCTATTTTTGCTACAATTCCAAGAATCTATCTATAAACATACTTGTGGATTTTTCCCCCCTACTTTTTCTCATTTATTTTTAATTCAGTGTTAAAAGGGTATTCCCCCCCAAGTTTTAGTGCTCATAATGTAGACACACCGACACACCAACTGAAACTTGCACCCTGAAACCTGTTTCCCGGAACTATGAAAACTGGTTTCAGGGTGCAGTACTGGTTTCTATTTTAACATATTTTATAATGTAATTTAATCCTGTCGTTAAAGCTGAATTTTCAGCATCATTACTCCAGTCTTCAGTGTCACATGATCCTTCAGAAATCATTCTGATATACTGATTTGATGATCAAGAAACATTTCAGATTATACTCAATGTTGTGCGAACAGTTGCGCTGCTTCATATTTTTGTGGAAACCATGACCACTCAAAAATTTGAGGTAAGATTTTTTTTTAACTTTTATTTTTAATTAGTTTAATTTACAAGATTCACAATAAATCTAGAACAATTTTAACAGAAAAGGATAAAAGAAATCATATATTTAACATATACAGTGGGTACGGAAAGTATTCAGACCCCCTTAAATTTTTCACTCTTTGTTATATTGCAGCCATTTGCTAAAATCATTTAAGTTAATTTTTTTCTCATTAATGTACACACAGCACCCCATATTGACAGAAAAACACAGAATTGTTGACATTTTTGCAGATTTATTAAAAAAGAAAAACTGAAATATCACATGATCCTAAGTATTCAGACCCTTTGCT